ACGAGAGCGAAGAATGAGAAAGAAAGAGTAAAACCTGTTACAAAAGCTGACAGCCATTAATTGATCATCTGAAAGGCTTTAATCTGAACCAGAGTGACTGTGAATCTGGTCTCTCAGGCTACAATTTATCAGTCAAATTCCCCCTAAACGCTTCAACGAACACCTCTCAGCTATCAGGGGTTATTATCCACGTGGGTTTGCTTTATATGTAAGTAAAATATATATTAAATAACAGTCTGTTGTGATCATTTAATGAAGACTATACAAACTGTATAAAACAAAAGTCCATATTTGAAGTGATGTAGCAAAAGATTGACTTCTGCTGTATTTTCTGAATATGATAATGAAGGTCTGAGCTGAAACAGTGCTGAAGATTCAGATTACTGCTTCTGTTCTACATCCACCACAAGTTTGTTATTATCTTAGACACCCAACCACGGATCTGTCAGTCCTCCCGCACTGATTCGCTGCATTTCTTTCGACCGTGTTCTCCCACTGCAAATGCTGTGATGCAGCGATAACAACCTAACGTACTCGCTGAACTTTTAATATTGTCTGGTTCATTTCATGTAGTTCTTTTTGGTTCTTGCCATTATTGCATCAGGATTTAACCTGACAGTACTCTGCTTACACTGTCTTGTACTGAATACTGAGAAATGCACTCTGCGGGTCGGCATGTTCGCTGTGTCAGAAAACAAGCACAGGCTGAACACAGTGGAATGCATTCTCAGTGTACACATGCTGATAACTGCTACAATATAGAAAAGAAAAGAAAGGGAGTGGAAAATCATCTTAACACAGGGGTGAGTGAATGCATGGTGGAAAATAAATCGAGCGGCAGTGGTGGTCCAACTTCATTGCAGCATCATATTGTAGAATAATGGTTCTATCAGACTGCAGTGCAGCAGGTCATGTAGCAGGGCAACGTTAGAATAAAAACACATACAGTTCAGTCCAAAACTATATCCATGCCAAATTGACAGACACCGTCGCCCATAAAGTTGGAATAATTTTTGTTTTCAGACACATTTCTCTTTTTATTTCTATTTCTGCACGTCAGTAATGACTTCTGACCAGGTTCAGTGATTCCATACTGAGTCCCAGTTACCAGGTGAAACCAATTCTGACTTTGGGATCTGACTGAAGAGTGGGATGTCCTGCCCATTGACACCATCAACAAGCTTGTGGACAGTATGCCACGATGTCTTAACACATTGATCTGTGTCAGGGGTGGCCAGACTCAATATTGGTGACTGAGAGACATTTGAAAGAGTAATATTGGACATTCTAATGCATGAGATCCCCTCGAATATGTGTTTCCTGTAAAAGGGACCAAGGTTGAACAATGAAAACAAAACCTTTAATCCTATAGTTCAATACCCCCAATTCTGCTAAAGCCTGAATACACAGCAGTATATAATATGTGTTGTATGTATAGTGTGAAATCAATAAAGATCTGAGAAGATATACACTTTGTCTATAAGAAATAAATCGCATTGTCCCAATCATTTCATGAGAAGAGGTAAAAAAAAGAAACTTATGGGCAACAGTATGGTCATTTTTTTAAACCTAAACAATAAGTGTCTTCTGGCTGGACATGACAAGCGACAAAAGGTAGTCAACGTCCAAAATTACAACATGAGTAATACCCCTTGAAATTGCTGCAATTTTTTAAAAAGAAAATAATGTTTGTTTCTTTGTTTTTTTACCACTCCAAATGGTCCTGATACTTCTACCATGTCCTACAGCATTCTGATAAACTAAACTGAGAACAGCTGACACTGTTTCTCTCGTCACTTACTAGTCAATTGAAAGTTGTTGCTAAAACCAGAGAGCTGAATGAGTTTGCTTTTAAGGTCCATCACAGGTGAAGGCAATAAAGTCATATTTAAGTGTTTTCAGGTGCCAGTGGCCACATCACCAAGAAGTACAAGTAGAGCCACACTGTGGAAAATCTCTAAAAGCAAGGTAGGAAGTCAAAGGTGACATCTACACCGGCAAGAACGGTAGTGTGAGATGCCAAGACGAATCCAACGATCCCCACCAAGGCCATTCTGATCAATCTGAACACTTCTGGTACCAACATCTATATTTAGACACTCTTGCAGGCACTGAAACAAGGCTGGTCTGATGAGGACCCACTTCTTTCAGAAAGAGACACAAAAGCTCACCCGGACTAAGAAGGAAGCAGTGGGCCTGGCAAGTTCAAACTAAGCTGTATCATGAGAAAAGAAGACTACATTAAGATTGTGGAACAAAACCTAAAACAGTCCACAGATAAACTTGGCCTTGGGCAACATTGGCCCTTCCAGGAAGACACTGATCAGAAACATGCAGTCCAAGTGGAAATAGTACCTGAAAACAATATCAACATGTTGGAGCGGCCCAGCCAGAAACCAGATCTGAATCTCACTGAAAATCTGTGGAGGAAGATAAAGACCAGAGTGATGGCAAGGGAGCCTTCAACCTCAAAGATCAAAAAAAGAAGAGTGGAAGAAAACCCCAGTGGAGACCTGCAGAACGGGTTTTAGCAGTTGCTGGCAACTTTCATTGCTGTGGTGGATAATGAAGGTTAATAATGTCAGACGTGGCGATTTAATTAAAAATGGAAAAAAAAATGACACAGAAATAGTTACAATCCGTCATTAATACCTCCAACGCAATGTGTCACCATCTACTGTTACCATTTCTGGTCAAAATTAGGCATGGATATGAATAATTTAGGGCTTAACTGTATGTGCAAACACATGCTGAAGTAAGTAAACACTGCTGACATTTATGATTGCACTCTTGGGACTAAGCCTGTTTGCTTTCGGTGTTTCGGTAAGAATGGAGCAAATATGTTCAGGTCTTTGAGCACGGAAACTGTGCTGTGAAAACTGATGTAAGGCATATTATAGAGTCTCAAGGGCATCTTACAGCTCTCTACAGCAACGGAACAAGAAAAATGATATACATGAGGCGAACTTATTGAGAAAAACATGAAAGAAAGAGGTTTAGGGAATGTGACAAATCTATTTTACATTGAGTCTCTAATTGGGCTTTGAAGGCCCACATCAGATGGCGTTCTCTATCTTCTGGAAAAATTAAAATGTCCCTATAAACATTAAGCTACCTAAACTCACTGATACATTTTAAGTCAATGGGTGTTAATGACGTTGGCGACCTTGCTGCTAATTGCTTCCCCGTGGCTTTCTTTTTACATAGGTTGCATCATATTAATTTTCGTAATCAAGCGTTTGGTTCGGAGCTGATAGATTAAAACTCAGCGTATATTGAACACTGCTCGTCCCCGGGTGTCCTCTTTGATGTATGACTGACAGGTGATTAGTCTAATTAGCTTATTAGAATTGACAGAAGGGTGACTTGCTGACCTCTGTGCAGTCTTCAATAATGCAGGGTCTATTCCAGGGGAAACCTGTCTATTTGATGGGATTTTGAAACCATAAATATTCAAACGACTTATTTGAAGCGAAGAAGAAAAGCGATATTTACATTCAGCCCACACTCAGCGCGCCAACAACCGCGGCTGGTAAACAAAATTCAGTAGCAGGGAAGCTTCATCGCTGGCCCTCTGCGGAGCTGAGCAGCAGATGAGTTATTCAGAAAGAAATGGAAATCCAGCGACACTGTATTTGGTACCTACACATTTTACTGTTACAGCTCATGTAATATTAACAACCTCACACAGACACACAAACACGCCTTGTGTTGCCATTAATAATGTTATTTTTGAATTGATTCGGCGTATGTGATGCATGAGCGCGTCCTGTTTTGCATTTGTATTGATAATCAGTCCACCTGAACTCGGTTCAAACTGTATTTTCCTTTCAGCTTGTAAGAGCTGCCGGACTCTTTTCTGCTATGATTGCAGACAGTGGCTTAAATGTTTGCAGAGAAAATCTTAAGACATTATTGTGTGCCTCATGAAGGTATTTACAAAAACTGGACTTTTATGTGAAGAGCCAAAACAAACCAGTTCGTTCCCTACTTCAACTTATTTTCCACAAAATTATGTTCCTCGAAAACGAAGCTGCATTCTCAGGTACTTGTTGCGGTGAATAAAATCCCTGTCAGATTCCATTTGTAAAGTTTCACAAATTCATTTCTAATACCTGCATCTTTGCCAGTTACTTTTTACTTAACCCATTACAGATTAGATAAGGCGGGACATGTCGCCCTTGTAAATTGAGGAGACGCTTCAAACATGTAGTAAAAGTATTTTAACCCAAACCGTCATATTTTTCCAAACCCTAATGAAGTAATTTTGGTCCTCAACCCCAACCAAGCCTTTAACATGTTAAAATGTCTACTTAGGCGTGATATTTTCCTAAACCTAACCGCGTAGTTTCGGTTCCTAAACTTAACCAGAAAGCAAGTGAAAATCGAAAGTAAACGAGTGAAAACAAAACTTAAGTCTGAAACTGAGAGTCTTTTGTCTATCACCAGATGTGAACCCTGGTCTTCTAGGTAAAAGTCTGGTCTCTGGTTTATGCATCAATACTCCCCTCTCTGTCCTCCGAACATGGATTTTGTGTCACTTTTAAGGAAGCAGTTAAGTTGTTTAGGAATGTAATTTTGTAATTGGTTGCTTTCTTTTTGTGTCACACTAAAACCTGCATTATTTGTAATTGTTGTGATTTTTCAAAATTTACAGGAAAATAGACAACAAAGCAGGGTATAATTTGTAACTGGCAGGTCACTACTGTGCAGGTGTATGTAGTGTTCATGAATTCTCAGTCAGATCCCCTCCTCGTTTGTGAAACTTCAGTTTTAAAAACATTAAAAAAAAAACAAAAAAAAAACCTGTGGTTGATGCCACTGTAGCCACATCCATGTTTTATATATAGTCTATGGTATGGACCAAGTGATGGATGGCCCAAACAACCCAGAGAATGTGACTTTCACTCTCTAAACAGAAGAGAAAGACCAAGATTCACATTCTATGAATCAATTTTCCCTTCTGTGGCACCATCTTATGTCCTATAGCTGGTTCTCACCTGGGATGTTGTGGATGGTGATGGCCAGGATGAGAAGGAGAATTCGCCGCCAGCTGCTGCCTGTCTGCCCAACCTCTTCCTGTTGTTTACTTCCTGTTTCCTGTTCATCTGCGTTGCCAGAATGAGGTCCTCTTCTTCTCTGGTAGACATCCCCATTCTCTATTTTATCTGTGTGACAGAAGAGAATAACATTGGAACCTAAATAATGCAAGCATTGTGCATCATTCACCCACAGATAAACAGCACATTACCTTTCAACAGACCATCCACGAGAATGTGCTTCTGACTGAATGCAACTATAAAATGTCTATTTAGGCCCCTAAAACTCTTGTGATTAAATCGTGACTCAGTGACTCAGCAGAGAAGACTGTGGTTGTACCTCCACATGTGAATACTTGTAACTGTGTGATTGTGAACAGGGTCTTTCTGAAATAGAGAGCCCTGCTCAGAGGGATGCTTCCCTGAATAAAGGCTACACAAATCCTTCAGGGCTTCAGTACGCTTCAAATTAAAGCCACCAGTTTACTCCAGTAGAAGTGCTTGTCGATGGAGGAACAATGCCCTGTGAGCTCGCCCTCTGCAAGCTGTGAAAGACGATATCAGTTAAATTCCAAAATACAAAATCGGATGAGCGACCTACGTCATCCGCTGATTGGACAGCTATGTGGAGAGCACAAAGCAAACAGGGTTTAAACTTCTCCCCTAAGCACTCTTTTTTTCATTCTTGAACTCCTTGAACTCAGGAAAATGTGTTGGACACTGTGCTTCATTACCCCCAAATTAAAGGATTACAATCAGCATTTTCCGCCACCTTTGGGTGTTGCTTCTCAACTTGGTTGGATGACGTATTCACAGCAACTCTCCCCATGTTAAACCTGGCTTGAAGTGTTTGTTGGACTGTCCGACAGTGCTGCAGATTTTTCTAACTTTTCTAAAACAGACACTCAAGCTTATCGTGCTCACTTTAGCGATTGACCAGGTGTGAAAGTAGGAAGGAACCAGCTACTTTCTCTCTGAAACCCAAAACCCTTCAGCGGGTTTAAGGTCTTGTTTTCTTATAAAAAAGAAAAGAAATAAAGACAAACCGTCATAGAAGATAGAGGATAACTAGAAAAGAGAAAACTTTCCGATGGTCTTTAAACTAATCTGTTTAAAAAATGAACCACAACTAAGCTTAAAACTGTGATATTTCATCCAAATCATATGAAGCTAAATGTTTCATTCAAAAGCTGTTTGCACTAGATTCTGCAGAGTTGTTAGTAACTTGCTGGAAGTTACATTCAGCATGGTGAAATATCTTTCTCGAGCTGATGTGCAGAGCAGAGTAAATACAAGCAGGAACATATATATAGTATATAACGTTTTTTTTTTTGGTATTGATGACACTTGGGGACACTTGAGTGGGAAAAAAAAACTACAAAAGAACTATGAGCCACTGTTGTGCTGTTTCTACTGAGACACAGGACTTTATTTTGCAGAGAAAAACGAGCCCACAGCTGAAAATGTTGGCGGTGTCAGCTGTTGACAGCATGGCTCAGCACAACCAACCCTCCTTTGGTGGAAAAGCCCAACATGACTGCAGGTTTTGACCCTTCCTGTGATGATGGTTTCTGCCTTTACATGCAGTTGGACAATGCACAGTTCTGTTTCTTTGGACAAATCTGTACGCTTAATGGCCACGACAGCTCAAGGGGAGTATTTGGGGCAGCATTTACAGCTCTCTCTAGGTGGCCTGTTAGAATTCTGTGAAAACACGTCACCAGTTGGATGCCTTCACGTTGCTTGACGATCCTTAAGCGTGTGACAAATATGTCAAGAGGGACATCCCACGAAGACACTCAAAACTACCATGATTAGCTTAATTAACTTCTTTGAAATATCCATTATGTTAACCTAGATATAAGCTGACATACATAAAATCCTCAAAACTGTCAATCAAGCATGAAGTCGAGATGCACTTGTCTTCCAATCCCCTGATTTTCTGCTTCACAATGAAATCTTTGTGTGAAGCATGGCACTCAGCCAGCAATTACCCGCAAGATATTTGAATCAAAGAACAACTTAAATGACAAGTAGATTTATTACAGATTACATCAGATGCCTCTAAAGTCTGATTAGCATGCCTGTAACAAATTTATATGTACAGCCTGAAAAGTGAGGAGCTACAATCCTCAAATAAAAAGCTATATCCCTGATTTGTCCCTGCGTCAGTCCAATTACCAGCATTCTAATATCTGTTAACGTCATGAAAACAAATGGCCCAGGACAATCTAATTAGCACAAAACCCTTTGCTGGAGGTTACACAGACACAGTGAATTATATTTTCTGCAAAAATATTGCAGAAAAAAAACCTCAAAACCCACATCATCAAACAAATGGAAATAATGGGTACATTCATAATGAGCATCACGGTAATTAAGTGACTAAATGGTGGAAGGTTTTAATATTTTACATGTACCCTCCCAAAGGATACTGCCTGGAGGTGGGGATGCTGAAGTTGCACTGGGAATGGTTTCAATTACCTAGAGATCCCTCGGTTGTCCTTGTAAAATGCCACAACAGACGCTAGAAAATGGCTGAACCACTTTGCAGCGTTTTTTTCATTAAATAACCACAAACACCTTAAAGTCTTGGTTCAATTGCAAGCATCCAAAAAGAAAGATTTTACAGTTGATGCCACTGATAAGGGGTTTGGAAAGCTGAGCATTAAAAACCGTAATGGAGGTCGTGACTCCCCTTTAATTTGCAGCATAAAAGATTAAGAGTGTGAGGATGGTTTACAAGCTGCTGGTACAAGCTAATGATTTACAATTAAAATAATAAAGATTAAGAAAGATCACATGACAGTTTCATTTGAAATGATGTAATATTAACTGTGTTTAAAAACAGTTTAAAACAGATTAAGTAAATTTGCATGTTGCACTTACAATAACAGATTTTCTTGGATGACTTTAAACAGCAGAAAGTGAAAGTTGTAAACACACCAGTGACTTGTCAACACTTTTAAAATCCCCTCTCCAGTCATTGATTAAGCCCCTGAAAGCTCATCCCAGTACATCAGACTTACATACTTAGACGTTTTGTTCCATGCAGATAATCCCTTCATGCCGTAAAATGACTTCGATATAACTCTACGCTGTTGGCTCCACCTGGTACACTGCTTTAAAAGTGGAAATGCACAGCCATGGCATTGACTGCTTAATTCATGCACTATATCTCTTCGAGCATATTAAAAAAAACAAACAGCGATACAGGCCAGGAAAAAATATAACCTTCACTACAGGGGGTTCTCAAGTAGTGGGTTGTCATACTTTTAGTGGATATGAAACAGCATTAGCTTTCATTCTGAGTTGTCCTATAGCATCTGACCTATACATATTAGTTAGATAACAGTCCGATATAAGTCTAATATTCCCCTAAACGCTGTTCTCTGGTCTCTTCAGCTGCTAAATGCTCCACTCTGTGATCATTAACTTCGTCTGTCTGCTGCTCTGTTCTGGGTGGTATACGTTGGGGTTTTCTTAACGTCCTGATAGCGCCCTAAAAGTGACAATAAAAAGTACAAATCTCAGAAATGGGCAGCACCATCTTGGACTGGCTAAGTCGTTTGGAACAAGAATCGATACCACGTCTCCACTGCCCGATCGCTTAAGGAGATGGTGACATGCCATCCATCTTCATGTGCAGTCTATGTATGAGAGCAGTGAGAGCGAATCCATTCATTGAAGCTGTATATAAGCAAAATGAGGAGCTGAGAGAAGTCATAAAACTCTGAAGAGTTCAGAGGAGCTGGGATGTAATTCTCTGTGAGGTTTGTTATTACGAGACGCTCGCATAATTTGAGCAACTGATGATATGAAGGTATTAATTTTAGCCATTTGAAATAACGCCAAGCAGCAGTCAGTAATTGGCAAACAGAATTATCTTTTTATTCATCTAAGCTGATTGAATTTTATTTAATTTGAGCTTTATGCTGTTCTTGCACAATGATCTCTTATTTTTTATATATTTTAGACTTTTTACTAGAATGCAAGTTACAATTCCCTTTAAAAAAAAAAAAAAAAAAAAATCAACTTATTAGCTGGGCGTAATGAAACACTGATGAATCCCCGTGGCGTTATTCTACAGATTTCATTATCTTTAAACTTCTTCCTGCAACCTGTCCATCCTCATCGCCGTCTCCTTTCATCTCTCTCATCTCCCTGTATTTGTCTCTCTTTCACATACATTCTCAAACGCGAGCAATTGACCTCTATTAGTGCCATGTACGCGGCCGTAAATTGGAATTATCTGGCGTGTAAAGGTCAGGTGATTCGGACTTTTGCTCGGGGTGCTCTGGTTGCACCCTCAGCTGGTGGACGCTTTTAAAGGCTAAAAACCCTCAGTCCATTTCTCTCCGATTGAATCTCCCAAACCATTTGACTACAGTAAATGGCAATCTGTACACAGCCTCTTAAAAAAGAGAGCACATGGTGGTATCTTGCCAACTGGTAATAATTGTTGTCAGGCTGCAGGACTGCATTGTTTGACACTTTCCACTGCCTGTTGTGTATACCCTATTGTTTAGAAATCAAGGTTGGCAATTAGCATGGGTGGAAAGTCAGACAGAAGCATCAACAATATATTTCTAATTTCTTTTAGATTAAATGTGCAGCAAAAACATTCCACGAACAGGTAAACACATCGGCAGTCAGATGTGACAAATGTAATTCTAGGGCCCAGTCTAGGTATTTGCACATCTAAATCTCACTCTCTTATATACACACCACAACAGGTTTTCTAATTAAGATTGCATTGTGATATAAATTAAATGATTTTCTAGGAATTGAATTAGAGGTTTGTATTTGTGGTTGTCAAGAGGTTTAAACAAGAGCAAGCAGTGGCGCAGGTTCATTTTGTGGCATTATCGGTCAGAGTTGTTCGCTCTCAGTAAAAACTAACAAATAGCGTAATGTTTATAATCTCATAAGCGCAGTAATATTGACAGAACCATTTAAAAGTAGGGTTACATTTAATGGGAAACAGCTTGTTGGCTACTTTCGGTAATAATGACTGAATGGTGACTCCAAATGACAATATTTCAGTCAGGCTAAGGACGTCAAAAGCTTCACAGAGACAGTGCATTTTTATGTTGTGGTAACTAATAACCCTAACTAATGGTAACTAA